ACTCAAAATTTCCGCTACTGGTTCTTTGAACTACTCAAAATTTCCGCTACCGGTTCTTTGAACTACCCAAAACTTTCGCTACCGGTTCTTTGAACTACTCAAAATTTCCGCTACCGGTTCTTTGAACTACTCAAAACTTCTGCTACCGGTTCTTTGAACTACTCAAAATTTCCGCTACTGGTTCTTTGAACTACTCAAAACTTCCGCTACCGGTTCTTTGAACTACTCAAAATTTCCGCTACCAGTTCTCTGAACTACTCAAAATTTCCACTACCAGTTCTCCAGAACCTGTCAGAACCTGCTGGATTTCACCCCTGGTTTATGTCTTAGCCTTAGTTCATAGCGTACTTGGCATCAGGGATGGACAAAATCATGCTGGTGATAGGAATGTCGTCAAACGTCTAAGGTAGACTCCAAAAGAATCTCTTGCATCTTAAAATGTACTTAAGGACCTCCCCCACATTCATTCATTCATGCTTGAGACCTTCGCAGTAGCCTTCTCCAACCTTCCCAGATGTTTCCAGCTAGGCTGCCTCAACCAGGTAGACTCAAAGCTACCCATCTGTGGGCTTCTCCTTCTCAAGACTCACAATTCTCCAGGTCCAGTGCCTCTAAGATGGCCAAATCCCTTCCAGGTGATCCAAGGCAACACAGATACCTACGAGGTTGTGTTGAAAGATCTTCGCCCGCCCATCATCGCTCGCTACATCCGTGTGATCCCAGTGACGGAGCAGCCCATGACAGTCTGCATGAGAGTAGAACTCTACGGTTGTGTCTGGTCTGGTAAGGACTTACATGTTGATAGAGATTCTCAATCATCCAGGTCCTGCTTGTCCCAAAGGTGCCTTTTCCAAAAAGGCAACAGGATTTTCTTAGGTTCCAGCACCCCCTTGAAAACATTCTTCAGAACTGAAGAAGCTTGGATGAACAGGTCCAAGAAAGTTCCATAGCCATTTGCGCTCTTGATTCGGGTGAGGTTGAAAACTGGCCTCAACATCCTGTGTTTGCTCCTAGGAGACTGCAAGGAGGCCTTCTAGCTTCAAAATGGGGGGCGCCTCCCCCCCCCCTGTGGCCTGTTTTTGCTCCCGGGGGGTGGGTGGGTTCAGGAGGCCAAGTGCTGCCTGTCACACACCCCTGGCCACACCCACCATGGCCACGCCCACACTCCCAGTTATTAGGGCAGAGAACCAGTTGTTATTTGAATCCCACCACTGCATATAGGCAGAGATGGTATTCTGCCGGTTTGCACCGGTTCAAGAGAATGGGTAGTGGTGGCGGCGCGAGGCTCCGTCCACCCACCCAGATGTCACCACGGACCTTCTGCACATGCGCAGACCTGCGCACTCCCGCCACCGAACTGGTAGTGAAGAAAAGAGGATACCGTTACTGCCCGTAGGTGATAGGATTGTGTCCTTCTTCTGATGCTCAATAATCTCCTTTCCTAGATGGCCTGGAGTCCTACAGCATGCCCGAGGGGGAAACCATGGTGGACTCTGGCAATCCTCTTGTTTATCTAAATGACTCGATCTACGATGGTCACCAGGAACGAAAGTAAGAGGGAGCCAATTTCAATGTCTTCCTTGCCTCTCCATTTATTGCTCTCGTTAATGTAATAATGCAATACATTTTTCAAATGTCCCCTTCCCGCGCGCTAGCTTATCTTCGTTTCTTTGTACCAAAACCAAAACAGTCACACAGTCAAGGCTATCTCATCCGTTGCGACAGATACTTTTGTGGATCCACGAAACTGCCGCTTAAGGGATGCTAATGTCCCTTTTCACCCACTTCGTTTTAAGTAAGATTATAAACCACCTTGCAGAAGGACATCAAGGTCCATCTTACCGATAGAGGGGAATATTTGTAGCTCCGGGTTGAATTGTGGAGTCCTTGGTGCTCTCTGAGAGTTGTGGTTTTCTTGCAGATGTTTCATTACTCAACTAGGTAATGTTAACAGTGGTAGAAAGGAGGAGGAGGAAGATGATTGTGGAGTCCTTGGTGCTCTCTGAGCTTGGTGGTTTTCCTGCAGATGTTTCATTACTCAGCTAGGTAATGTTATCAGTGGCAGAAAGGAGGAGAAGGAGGAGGAAGATGACTGTGGAGTCCTTGGTGGTCTCTGAGTGTGGTGGTTTTCTTGCAGATGTTTCATTACTCAACTAGGTAATGTTAACAGTGGTAGAAAGGAGGAGGAGGAAGATGATTGTGGAGTCCTTGGTGCTCTCTGAGCTTGGTGGTTTTCCTGCAGATGTTTCATTACTCAGCTAGGTAATGTTATCAGTGGCAGAAAGGAGGAGAAGGAGGAGGAAGATGACTGTGGAGTCCTTGGTGGTCTCTGAGTGTGGTGGTTTTCTTGCAGATGTTTCATTACTCAACTAGGTAATG